GCACCCCTGACAGATGGCCATCCAACCTCTGCTTAAAAGCCTCCAAAAAAGGAGCCTCCACAACGCTCCGGGGCAGAGAGTTCCACTGCTGAACGGCTCTCACAGTCAGGAAGTTCTTCCTAATGTTCAGATGGAATCTCCTTTCTTGTAGTTTGAAGCCATTGTTCCTTGTCCTAGTCTCCAGGGAAGCAGAAAAGAAGCTTGTTCCCTCCTCCCAGTGACTTCCTCTCGCAACACTCTACATAAGATACTGTACCATTCAAGGTCGACTAACCTTCTTGGACAGTGGACAGGAATCTGGTCACAAGGCAAGCTCATCAAAGGAGGTGGCCAGCTATTAAAACCACCCTGCAATACAGTTTTTAAAATCCTTTTTTATGTAATTCCTCGAGGCAAGGACTCCCGCATGCACACACACACAGAACCACTCTTTTTCAAGCCACTTCATGCAACATGTGGCCACATTGTGTTAAAAAAAAAACATTTTTCAACTTGCCATGCCAATGCAGTGCACAGGCTGTGCCAGTGCAATGGCATACACATACATGTGTGGGGATAATTTGTGAATAATTGCCAACATTAGTCATGAACAGAAATAAACAGGGTTTTTCCTCTTGTTCTTGATCCAAGTCCTCTTGGAAAATAAGGAAAGCTATACATTTTGATGATTTGCACACACACCTCTGCCTCCTTGCATGTTCCTGCTGATGCTACATCTATGAAAGTCCTAACTGCTGCTTCCAGCAGTGTGCAGCTTCTCAACCTGAGGAACAGCTGGCCTGGCCTGGGTAGTCATAGGATTGCACAGGCACCTGGAAGACGGCACAAAGACAAGAAGGACCTTTCTGTGGCCACCGCTTCTGAGAGGAAGATGCAGCTGGAGCTCTCAGCTTTGCCAGATCTTCCTGGCCAGGGAGGAGTTCAGATCACCTTCCTTTCCAATAGCTCAGCACATTCTGCACTCTTTTTCGAAATTAGACTCACTGAAAGGAAGGCTTTAGTTGTGGATTCCTGCATAACAGAAAGGGGAAGTGGCCCTTGTGGTCCCTTCCAGCTCCCATTGTAGCACTACTTCCCATATCTATCTGGGATTGCTTTCTTAAGGGTTGGGAGCCTTTTTGGCTAGATTATCTGAGACAGATGTGGTCAGAATTCCTGGTTCTGCTACAGTGATTAGAGGAGCTCCTGGCACATGCCGAAGAACTGAACAATAACCTTGGGAAGCATTGTTTGCAATCAAGTCAGTTTCCGGTTTATGGCAACGTAATGCCCAAGGCCCCTGTCATCCGCTGGCCTGCTTGGATCTTGCAAACTCAGGGCAATTGTGGCTTCCTTGGTGGAGCCAACCCATCTGTAATGCATTCTTCCTCTTTTCTACTGGCTTACACTTTGCTGAACGTTATTGCCTTTTTCAGTCAGTATACCAAAAAATACAACTTGAAATTTATTTCCTTCTCTCCAGATAAAAGAGTAAAATCGTCCAGTATGTTATTACTTCAATAACATTTAAACGTTTGCCTAATATTCAGGCTATGAAACATAGTCTTCAAAACCAACAAACATCCCCTTCCCTCCTCTTTATAAAAAGATAATGATAAATAATAATAAACTTTATTTATATCCCGCTACCATCTCCCCAATGGGGACTCAGAGCGGCTTACATGGGGCCAAGCCCAAACACAAATTACAGCAGCATAAAACCGAAAACGCAACCCGAAAACGCAGACAGTAAACAATAGCATCATAATTACATAAAACACGTGAAAACATGATAGTATAAAATTACGATAAACACAATCACAGTGACAATAGGCGGGCTACATGTAAAATTTAAAAGAAAGGAAAAAAACTGATTAAAACTAATTAAAACTCGAGTGAGATAAGAAAGAAGCCGGTTATTTGCGGCTATAAAAATCGTTCCCAGTGTTTTACAAAATTATCCAAAGTTTTCTCTCTAATCAAGGTAATTTCTCCATTTCTGGCATTTCAAAGATCTTTCATGCCCAGCCTTCTTTTGTTGGAATCTCTGTGCCTTTCCATTTCTTGAGCCTATGGAAGCCTTACACCAGAATCATATATTGAAACTCTATAATGCAATCCTTTAATTTGTCCATTCACTTGTATTCTAGTATTTCTCAGCTTTTTCTCAAGTCTGCCACATCTGATAATAAGTCCCATGTTGTGCATTACAGATTTCCAACATGTATTCTCGGCCCTTTCTCCATCTTAGATAATCTTGTGGGCATCAAATACGAGTCTACATGTCTCGTACCGTCTACATGTCATTTTGTACAAAATTGACTTTAAGATCAGAATATATTTTTCAATCCTTTCAAACACGTTCTTTTTCATTGTTGCATCTCGATCTCATCACCAAGCCTTTGAGCCCATTTAATCACATCCAACTCTACTCTCAATGATATTTTATAAATTTTTGCGATCAGAATTTCATCATATGTACATAGTTTTGTCTCAAACATGGAGTTTTCTTTCTTTCTAAAACCCACTCTTTGCTTTCTTGTGTATCGTGGCTCTCTTTTCCCTGGACTTAAGCTGTCTTCAGTGTCTGTTGCCCAGTGGTGCAGAGGAGATTTGGAGGTTCTTCCTCTCGGGCATGGCACACATGAGCCCAAACACAGAGGCCACAAGGTGCCTTCATTCAAACAGGCACTTTTTTTTGTCGTGTCAGGAGCGACTTGAGAAACTGCAAGTCGCTTCTGGTCTGAGAGCATTGGCTGTCTGCAAGGACATTGCCCAGGGGACGACCGGATGATTTGATGTTTTTATCATCCTTGTGGGAGGCTTCTCTCATGTCCCCATATGAGGAGCTGGAGCGGATAGAGGGAGCTCATCTGCCTCTCCCCGGATTCGAACCTGCAACCTGTAGGTCTTCAGTCCTGCCGGCACAGGGGTTTAACCCACTGCGCCACTGGGGGCTCCAAAAAAAAAATCAGGGACTGAAAGAGCAGGAATAATAAGGCAATAATAATCATCGTCATCATCATTATCATCATAGAATCCTAGAGTTGGAAGAGACCTCATGGGCCATCCAGTCCACCCCCATTCTGCCAAGAAGCAGGAATATTGCATTCAAAGCACCCCTGACAGATGGCCATCCAGCCTCTGTTTAAAAGCCTCCAAAGAAGGAGTCTCCACCAATAATAATCCTAGACACTTGGGAAGTGTCCGACGTGTGATCCAATGCAACAGCCAGCAGAGTGTCTGCTGTGGACTCGTGGTGTTTCAAGTAATAATAATAATAATAATAATAATAATAATAATACTTTATGTATATTCCGCCCTTCTCCCCGAGGGGACTCAGAGCGGATTACAGCATATATACAGTCACAAGCAAAAATGTAATGCCTTGTTACAATAACATACAATGAGACACAAATAGCAATGGCAAAGGCTCCTCCTTTCATTTCCGGCTCTGGAGGCAATGCTCATCTCCGGCTCTGCGGGAGGTGCCATTTTCAAGCCGTGGAGCCTGCATTGTCTGTAGACACCTCCTGGTCATGTGGCCAGCATGACTGTGCCTTTTCCCACCCAAGCGGTACCTATTCATCTACTCGCATTTGCATGTCTTCAAACTGCTAGGTTGGCAGGAGCCAGGGCTAACAGCGGGAGCTCACCCTGTCCCACGTATTCAAACTGCCAACCTTCAGGTCAGCAGTTCAGCAGCACAAGGGTTTAACCCATTGCACCACCCACAGCCCCATGCAGCAAAAGCCAGTAAACAGCAGAACCAGTCAGTACATTATTAAGCAGAGGCTGGATGACCATCTGTCCTGCTTCTTGGCAGGGGGTTGGACTGGATGGCCCATGAGGTCTCTTCCAACTCTTTGATTCTATGATTTGTACATATGGCAGTGGAAAGTCAGTGTTCATAATTAAAGACCATCTTTGCAATGATAAACAGGCTGGCGCTTTGGCTTCTCCGTGGAAGGGGGAAATTGTGGCAAGGTAATGCAAAACTTGCTCCAAGCCTCCCAGTCCCCTATGATCAGGGACAAGAGGGTTCATGCACTGAGGTAAAGCAGTTTCCTCTCAAGGCAAAAGAGCATAAAGGGGGCAGGAAGGCCAGGGTCCCATGGGGGAAATTGCCCGGGCAAGTGGCACAACATGCTGGCTGCCCTTTTGTGGTCTAGCAAAGCGCCTTCAGCGCAACCACAGTCCACACTCTCCCAGCACCCCTGCATTCATCCAAACCTACTACAGAAGGGATTCCACGGGGTCCCTAAAACCCACAATATTTTTCCAGGAAGGGAGGGCATCCGGTGCACTCCCACACACTGCTGTTTGCTGGCCCCACCCCAGTATACATGCAGCCAGCTTTAGGAGCTAAACCCACTTGTATTGTTTGTTGTGCTGTGTTTTCCTGGCCAGATTTGTTCAGAAGGGATTTGCCTTTGCCTTCTTCCTCTGAGAGAGTGTGGCTTGCCCAAGGCCACCCAGTAGGCTTCCATGGCTGAGCAAAGGGATTCAAAGCCTACTCTCAAGTCCTGTCCCACTGCTCAACCCACGACGCCCCACTGGCTCTCGTCCTCCTGGCCTCAAAAGGCAGATAGCTCAGTAGCCATTGGAAGGGCTGTGGGGACCATTTGCACTTCAGTGCTGCTTTATGGTCCCAGCTGCAGGAGCTCTAGCTGAGACTGACTTGCACATTGGACAAAGGGAGCTAAAACTGTTAACTGCTAGGCTTCCGGGACTTTGCTGCTGTATTTTACTTCTTCAGCTAGTTCTCCAAGGATCTGGAGATGGTTTTCCCTTAATAAGAAGGCTAGTCTGAGAGGGCCATGCTTCCCGCTGCCTCCTTGGGGCCTAAGGGGAGCCTTCCCCAGGGGCTCTGCACAACCACAGCACCCCCCTGCTCTCCTCTGTAGGTGTTGTGTGTGTGTGTGCGTATTGTGTGTGTGCGGCCTGGTGCCTTGGCGCCTCCCTCACCCTGGCTTCTGCTTTGTCTCCCTCCCTCCCTCTCTCTCTCCTTCCCTCCGCAGACTTTTCAGTAGTTTAGGCGAACTGAGCACCATTTCCCAGCGCAGCTCGGGCACCACCTACACCGTCCGGCCCGGCAGCCGCTACCCGGTGACCCGGCGCACCCCCAGCCCGGTCAAGCCGGCCGCCCTGGAGAGGACAGACCCCTTGAGCCCCGTGCGGCCCTACGGGCTCACCCCGCCCACCATCCTGAAATCTTCCAGCCTTTCCATCCCACACGAACCCAAGGAGGTGCGCTTCGTGGTGAGGAGCGTGAGCGCCCGGAGCCGTTCCCCGTCGCCCTCCCCGTCGCCCTCGCCGGCCTTGCACGCCCTCCACCCGCCCCGGCCCTTCATGCAGAAGCCCCTTCACCTGTGGAACAAGTACGACGTAGGGGACTGGCTGGAGAGCATCAACCTGGTGGAGCACCGAGACAAGTTCGAGGACCACGAAATCGAGGGCACCCACTTGCCGGCGCTGACCAAGGAGGACTTTGTGGAGCTGGGGGTGACGCGGGTCGGGCACCGCATGAACATTGAGCGGGCACTCAAGCAGCTGGTGGACAGCTGACCGTTGTCCCCGCCGGTAGGTCAAACAGGACATACCTACTAGACGAGTAAACAGGAACCCACGGGATTCTCTTTCTATTCTACTCTGACCACTGCACTGAAGGGCGGGGAGCTGGCAAGTACCTACTCTCTCTCCTCCCTCTCTATCACACGCACACAGACACACACACAGGCCCCTCGGGGAACAGGAATGCTGCATGAAGGGACACCCCACTCCCCAGCGTTGTTGGGGGGCTGGTCTTTGTATCTCCTGGCGTGCCCGTCCCCAAGAGAGTCACTGCTGAGCAGGTGCTTCTGGGGGAGGGAAGAGGTCACTCCACTTTTCGAATGTGAATGTGTGGTGTGCGTGTGGGGCACACCGGTGAAGACTCAGATCACATGCCAAGGAGGGCACTGAAGCGGAGGGATCCTGGACTGGGTGGAGAGCAGTCCCAATGTAGTGGGGCTGGAGGAGGCAACGCTCCAGAGAGGCAAGGGCGAGCACAGGATCTGTTGGGTCCTAACAGAGCTATTACTTCGTAGCTCTGCGTGCATTCGTGCTTGTCTCTATGAAGATAAAATACACCTCCTGAGGAAGGGGCTGGACCCCTTGCCAGTGGGTCAGACATGGTGGCCCAGGTCCAGGTTCTGTGAGTAGCTGTGGAGAGGGGAAGCCCTCTTCGTGGTCTGCTGACTGGGAATCCCCATGTGGAGAGGGGTGGTGCAAGGCCAGAATACATGCGCTGGCTGTTCAGCTGGCAGAGAGCAGTTCTGCTGGTGAAGCAGGAAAGGGACAACCCCTAGCGAGAGGGCCTGCCTCCCCACCCCAATACACACACGCACACATACACACTCACTGTCTCTCTCACACACACACACCAGTTTCTCCAAGCCCTGCCCCAACACAATCATCATCTCATTGGCAGGAAGACCCAAAGACTGGGCAGGACTGGGGTGAGGGCGCGAGCGAGAGATGAGAGAGAAACCACACACACAAAGAGAAGGACCTGCCTTTTGGAGGACTGTGTTCTTTGCCCTGGCGAGAGGGGGTCCGAAGTCGCATGGATAGAAGCATGTTTGGGGGCATCAAAAAAGGGAGGCAAGTGGAGAACCCAGCAGCTTCCGCTTTGCCAACATTCATGGGGTGGGGGGAGGTTGCATTTTCTCTGGGGTCACGGGACGCATCGAAGGAGTCTATAAATCTCTGTGCATTTCTGTAGATTTGGTGGTCCAAGCGAGAAGGATGCCGACGCCAGGATCCCGCCCACTCTGTCCTAGTCACTCATTTTTGCATCTCTTTTTAATCAGCTATATATTTGAAAAGGAAAAAAGAACAAATATCTATATATCTATATCTATAGCCACATTGTTTTGTTATGGTTTACAAAAGCTATATCTCGCTAGAGGAGGATGTGGGGGCTCACCGGCCCTGCCTGCAACGCTTGTGGGAGTTTTTAGTGACTGACTGAATGAATGTGAGAGAAACAAAAATAGTCTTTTTAAAACTCTGTTCGGATGCTCTGAATTTTACAGGTTTGGGGGTGGGGGTGGGGAGGGGGACCAAAAGACAACGTTGCACTCGGTTTTGGGGACACCACCCAGTCTTCCATTCTTGCTGGGCAGGCAGAGCTGCAGGACAGGCCCTGGCCAGAGGGAGCGGCCTCCTTCCTTCTGCCTCGCACAGTGCCCTTCTCCCCTTGCCTTAGCCCCATCTTCTCTTGCCTCCCTTCCTGGGGGAGAGAGGGTGGGCCGGGGGCTCCTTCGCACCTACTGTAGCCTTCACTAGTGCCAGGAATGCCCACCTTGCAAGGAGAAGAGGAACCCACAGCAGGGAGAGCGCCCCTGGCAAAGCTGGCAGAAGGCAGAGGAAAGCCAGGGCCAGATCCCAGGGAGCGGAAGGAAACTGGCTCTGAATTGGGGTCTCTTGAATGGCAGCTCCAACTGGCAGGGCTGAGGTGAAAGGCAGACTTGAAAGTCCTCTGGGGGCTGCAGCAAAGGATACTTGGTGCAGTCGAAATGCCTCAGTTAGAGAAGTAGTGCAGGTGAAACTGGGCCCACGCCACTTGGCCAGCTCTTCTTTGTGGGCCCTGCTCCGTTCCTCTCGGCACAGGCAGAAGCCCTTTAGAAGGAAAACCCCTGTGAATCATGCCTGCTGGGGAGGGGGCTTGAGGGGGAAACAACTGCAGAGGCTTTTGGCTGCATGGTTCCAGATTAGCTCTCCAGGGAGGGAGAGGCGGGAGGCACCAAGAGAGGTGGATGGCTGGATGAATGGGCAAAGGCCTCCTCCCAGCTCAGAGGCTGGCCTCTGGCTTCTTTGTCCGTAGATGCTGGGCTCTGCCTCTGCAGCATTTCACTTGGCTGTGGTGTTCCCTTCCAAACCATGTACCAAACCTGTCCCAGTGAGAAACAGCCTGCCTTCAAAGTGGGTTAGGGGAGCGCCCCAGGGTGCATTTCTTCAGAGAAGCATTAATTCTTCTGGTGCTAGAGGGGCGGAAGAGGGAGACCCTCGCCACCCCTCACACATCTCTTCTTAACCTTTCCAAGCTTATTCCGGTCGGGGACAGGATGGAAGGGGCGCACGAGAACAGGGTACTCCACCCCAGCCCACCCCCAGTATTCTTGCTTTGGAGTTGCTCCTGCTGGGGGAAGGTGGGGCGCTTTGCCAAGGTTCCTCTCAGTCGGGGCTGAAGGAGGGACGGAGCGGCTGGTCACACCACCTTCCACAATCAGACCAGGGAGGCACCCACTGGAAACGCTCCAGTCAAGCCAGAGGCGTACGTAATGCAGACACATCACAAAAGGTTGCTCATCTGTGACCTCAAAGGAGGGCGGGGTGAGGTCATTCATATCTGAACCCCAGGAAGAAGTGCAACAGGTATTTGATACCTGCTTGGACTTCAGTGCCACCTGTGCCCTGTTGAAAGAACAGGGACCTCTTTGATTCAGGGGAGCCCCATTCGCTTGGCGTTCTGAGGCTCAACAGCCATCCAGCCATTGCTGACTGGGTGGCTGAGAAGAGGCATTGGGTCCATCAGAACAGGCAATGTAAAGAGGACACATATCAAAACACAAAAGCAATATAGCATCTACACAGTTCACTTTGTTAGAAAACAGTGAAAATAACATGTATTTCAATCATTCCAAGCTTTTTCCTACACTGTAACCTGGTTTAAAAACCAGTAAAAATGCAAAATGCCCAGTCTTTCTCGATTTGATAGCCCCAAGGTATACTGGACCACCAGTTCCATCTTCTTCCATCAACATGCAGTGTAAGGAGAGCTGCCCCAGATCATCATCATCCCAAGGAAGATGAACGCCATCTCTGTAGATCCGGTCTCATCACTTCACACTGAATAGTCACACTTTTATAGCACAGTCCTCTGTATGTGTACTTGGATACAAGTCCGACTCTGTTCATTATGGCTTACTCCTCGACAACTCCCCATTTTTAGATGGCAAGCTATGGTAAAACCAAAGGCCCACCCTGACCAATGTCAGGGTGCTGATGTCAACCGCAACAGCATCCTTCCGTGCCAAAAAAATCCCATTATATAAAGTGCTAGTACGAACCCTCTAGGCCAGGCATGGGCAAACTTGTGCCTTCCAGATGTTTGGACTTCAATTCCCACAATTCCTAACAGCTTTAGGCCCTTTCCTTTCCCCCCTCAGCTGCTTAAGCAGAAAGGAAAGAAAGGACAGGACTTGAGGCTGTTAGGAATGGTGGGAATTGAAGTCCAAAACACCTGGAGGGAGGACCGACGTTGGCCCATGCCTGCTCTAGGCTCAGCCACAAAGCCTATGTCTAGTCTGTGTACTTCTAAGTGTCTATGTTATTTCTACCCTGTACCCCAGGTTAATGGCCCTAAAGTGCTTTCCAAATTAAATAATATGAAATCCATTAATCCTTAAATTATGTGTAACACGAATAGATTAAAACCATACTCCTGAATTCCACAGGAAGGCCCTCCTCATCCATTCCAAAACACCACCAACCTCACCTTTTGAGATGCTTGAAACTTGAAACGAAAATGACAACTTTATCTGTTGTTGAGACCAATGTGGTGCTCACCCCCAATACAAATTGCCCAGATTATCCTGCTTTCGCCCTATTAACCTAGGCTGGCGCCCTTCCTACGAATGAAGGAGCTACTTCTATTTGCAGGATAGGTCCCTCCCTGTAACCCATTCTCCCCTTTTTCTCCTTGAGAGTGGCTGGAGCATGGTTGGCTGGCTATCTGCCTGAGTGCAGGCTCTTTTTCAGGCCCACGCTGTGCTGCTCTGCTGCCGTGGGCCCCTCCGTCTCGCTCTGTCCCTTCCGCAGCTGTTTCTGGGACAACGTGAGGAGACTTAGCCTGCACGCGGCCTCCTCCTGAGGGAGGGAGGCTTGAAGACTGCAGACCGGAACTTATATCTGCAGGACGTTCACTCCAGGACTGGGAAAGCTGGATGCCTTCTTCCTTCCTTGAGCAAGCACTGAACCCTGGTTTCTGCTGCTCCTCGGGAAGGCTGGCTAAGGGGCCCCCCTGTTGCCACACAGGGCCAGGGCTGCCCAGCTTCTACCCCGCAAAGCAGCTGCAGCCGTACCTGTGTTTGCAAACACTGGGTGATCCCTGGGCGTGCCTTCAAGGCGCCCAGGCGCCAGTCCCAGGGACACCACGGCTCAGTCCTGGTCAGGCATAGCCCAAAAGAGGAAAGAAGCCCCAGCCAAAGAGTCAGGTTGAAGCTGGAACTACAAATGGCAAGAACGTTTGCAATGATCTAATCTTAGGTCAAAGAATGAGTTTCCTCAGAGTCAGAGTAATAGACCACTGAGTATTTCGCACTGATTTCTTCTGTTATTCAGCATCCCAAAGTGTTACCTTTGCAGAGCCTATGGAGCCCCCAGTGGCGCAGTGGGTTAAACCCCTGTGCCGGCAGGACAGAAGACTGACAGGTCGCAGGTTCGAATCCGGTGAGAGGTGGATGAGCTCCCTCTATCAGCTCCAGCTCCTCATGCGGGGACATGAGAGAAGCCTCCCACAAGGATGATAAAAAAAATCAAATCATCCGGGCAACGTCTTTGCAGATGGCCAATTCTCTCACACCAGAAGCGACTTGCAATTTCTCAAGTTGCTCCGGACACGACAAAACAAAAAACCTTTGCAGAGGTTTTCTTTAACAAAAAAAAACCCCAAAAGCAAACAACCTAATTTCAATTCTGTATTATTATTATTATTATTACTATTATTATTATTATTATTTTAAAGCATTTATATTCCACCGTTCTCACCCTGAAGGGGACTCAGGTCAGAGCACAACACACACACACACACACACACACACACATATATATATACACACACACAACAAACATTCAATGCCAGAACATAAAACAAACTATAGATATACACAAAACGTTAAATCAATTGTTAAAAGCCATCTCAAAACAGCCATACCGGATCCGGTCAGCAGGGTAGGGTTTCCTATGATTACCGTATTGCACTGTCCCAAAGACTTGGTCCCACAGCCAAGTTTTTACCATCTTTCTGAAGGATAAGAGGGAGGGGGCTGACCTAATCTCGCAGGGAGTTAGGTCTTGATAAGGGGACTAACATATACGGGAACTAAAATTGGTTGGTGTCATAACTCAATTTCAGATGAGAGCTACTGTTATATTACTGTGTAGCAAAGCAGACAAAGTTCCCCATGCAGCTCATGCATTGACCCTGATGGGCATCAAGTATCCTTGTATTCACCTTTGCACTTCGTTAGCAGAGTTTCTCACTACTTTGCTACCCAGCTAAATATACAAAAGGTTAAGTTAAAGGTAATACAGGAGTCTGACATCTGCTTCTGTCAAGCAAACAGCGTTCTGTACAGAAAACTTGTTTTTGCTACTGAAAACTTGTTTTTGCTACGGAAAACAGTTTTTAAAAAGAAAACCATGTTTTCCTCATAGAATAATTCCCGCACAGCATTTTAATATGGGGAGAGTAAAACATTACTTTTAAATGCAAAGCACTTTGAACATATTATAATAGCATTATCAGTGAATCATGTGGCAAAGAAATAAATACAAGGCAACCTGAGGACAGAGCCCCTGAATTCATAGCTGGATGAGATTTTAATTCTCAAGGCGAACTTGCAATGGTGGTGGAGGCTCCTTCTTTGGAAGCTTTTAAACAGAGGCTGGATGGCCATCTGTCAGGGGTGATTTGAATGCAATATTCCTGCTTCTTGTCAGGGGGTTGGACTGGATGAGGTCTCTTCCAACTCTTTTATTCTATGACTCTATGATTCTATGAAACCATGGTTGCATTCCACACCCAACACACAAAATGGTTCAAATACCATGATAGCCTAGAGCAGTGGTTCTCAACCTGTGGGTCCCCAGATGTTTTGGCCTTCAACTCCCAGAAATCCTAACTGCTAGTAAACTTGCTGGGATTTCTGGGGGTTGTAGGCCAAAACACCTGGGGACCCACAGGTTGAGAACCACTGGCCTAGAGAAT